CAATTTTCTTTTTTTTGAGACAGAGTCTCACTTTGTCACCCTCAGTAGAGTGCTTTAACATCATAGCTCACAGCAACCAGAGACTAGACTCAAGCGAGTCTCATGGCTCAGCTGCCTGAGTAGTTGGGACTACAGCCGCCTGCCACAACACCCAGCTATTTTTAGAGATGGGGTTTCCCCGTGGCTCAGGCTAGTCTCAAACTCCTGAGCTCAGGCAATCCACTGCCCTCCACCTCCCAGAGTGCTAGGATTACAGGCAGGTGGACTGCTTGAGTTCTGAAGCTCAAGACCAGCCTGAGCAACAGGGAGACCCTGTCTCTACCAAAAACAGTAAAACTAGCCAGGCATTGCCCCCAGCCTGTCGTCCAGCTACTCAGAAGGCTGAGGCAGGTAGATTGCTTGAGCCCAAGAGTTTGAGGTTGCTGTGAACTATGACACCATGGCACTCTACCCAGGGCAACAGAATGAGGCTCTGTCTCAAAAAAAAAAACAATAGAGAGAGAAAGAAAGAAAAGAAAAGAAAAAGTAGCCAGGTGTTGTGGCAGGCAACTGTAGTTCCAGCTACTTGGGAAGTGGAGGCAGGAGGACTACTTGAATCCAGGAGTTTGAGTTTGCTGTGAGCTAAGCTAAGGCCACAGCAACTCTAGCCTGGGCAACAGAGTGAGGCTCTGCCTGAAAAAAAGAAAACAAACAAAAAAAGAACTAGATTAGCTTTTGTTGTGCACATGCACTATCTGGAGCTCAAGCCACAAATAAAAAAATAGGGAAGGGCAAAATCTTGATCTTCAAACAGAATACCTATGCAGGGTTCCACCCAGTTTTGGTTTTACCAGTTTGAACTAGGCCTACTGGGAAGCCTAAGATGTACTTAACATCTTTCTCTGTACCTCAAACACCTAGCACCAGCCCTTACCCAAGCAATCACCCAATTCCTTTGCTTTAATAGAGGCCAGGCTTGCTTTTTGCCAGAGATTCGCTATACTCATTTAAAAACACCTCAAGTCAGAATACTTAAGTTCAAACCCTGGCATCACCACTTATTAGGTGTGTGACCCTAGGCAAGTAACTTGACCTTTCTGCATTCCCTCTGTCAAATGGGGATAATGATAGCGCCCTCCCTAGACTGGACTGATTAAATGAGATAAAGCACACAAAAACATACCCAGGGCCTGGCCACAGGAACCCCCTGAAATATGTTAATTGTTATTATCTACAGAGAAAAAAAAAATATCTTAAGGCTAAGGAGCAACACACCTGAGGATTTGGCAAAAGGTTATCATTAAACCTAAAACTCAAACAGATTGCTCTCCTGACTCATAGATACTATCGGTAATAGCAGTAAAAACTGAATAGCAACAACCAGAATCGTAACCATAATGACAACAGCAGCCACAACACTAACACTGAGCTCTCGCAGCCATAAACTGTCCTAACCTAAAAGAGGAAGGAGAAGCAGGACTGCTGAATCACACACTCACACACATTCACAATTACAGAATCTTCCCCACCCTCCTTTTTAAAAACAGTAATTGACTCCCAAGTTTTGCTAAAAACAGGTATCTAAACCCATTAAAGCCTTAATGTGTAATTTCTTCATACGAAAGAGGTGGGGCTGTGAAGGGAGGAGGGGGTGGTGCTCCGTTCCTGCCAGATGGAAAAGCCACATGAAGCGGACAAACAGCCGGATTCAGGATTTACCCCCAAATCGAAATCAGATTTTTGAAGCCCAGAACGTCCAAATTCGGGGAATCTGAAGGCTTTGGTTTTCAATAACCTCTAAGCAAGTGTCATCTGTCTTCCGAGCCAATCCCCCGCCGCTGTAGAAGGTTCGGGTTACCGGGCAGCGGCGTTATTTCAGAAATCCGGGAGACATCTGGCCACCTCTAGGCTTCCACCGTCCCCAAGAATCACAGCCCCACTTGGGAGGAAAACAAAAGCCCGGGCACGCCGGGGAGGCCACGGCCGGGGTGCCCTCCATGCCAGCTCGCGGCTCCAGCACCCAGGGCCTGAGGAACACTCAGGTGACGCGCGCGGCGCCCGGGGCAACAGGTCCTGCCCGGCCTCGGCCTTACGGGGGTCCGGCCGCCCCCTGCCGCCCTCCGGCCGTGAGGAAAAAGAAAAGAGGGGCGCTGGGGACAGTGGCGCCTGGGGCGGCGCAGGGGCAAGGAGTCCAAGCTCCATCTTGAGGCGGGCGGAGGAAGGGAAGGCCCGACTCCACGCTGACAGGGCCGCGCACTTTTCCGGCTCACTGGGAGCACGCCAGGGACCTCCGGCCTCTGGGGCCGGCCACGCGGGGCTCTCAGGGTCCCCTTTAGGCCGCCCGGGCGCAGGAGGTTCAACCCCCTTCCTGGACGCCGCGCCCCAGCCCCTAGAGGGTGACCCCGAGCAGGCCCTGGGGAACAGGAGGTCGGAAGGGGAGGAAGGGGCCGGAAAGGGGAGAGGGTCCGCGCCGCGCCCCGCTCACCGCTCACCGCCTCGGACGCCGCCGGTCGCCGCCACCTGCCTCTCTGCAGCAGCAGCAGCAGCCGCCGAGGCCGCCGCCTCCCGCCTCCCCGCTCGTCGGCTGCGGGCGGGGGAGAGCGTGACGCGCCGCCGCCGCGGGGCCGGGCGGGCGCGCGCCGCCAGGAGAAGACGCCGCGCGGCTCCTCCCCGCGCTCCTCCGCCCGCTCGGCCCCCGGGGTCTTCGCCCCCGGCCCGAACCCTCGCCGCCACCCCTTTGTCTGCCCCCACCGCGGTCCCGGGCGGCGAACCCCAGCCCGGGGCGCACCCGCAGCTCAGCCCTGGACCCTCAGGAGCCCCGGGATGGGGAGCAAGGTGCGAGAGAGCCCAGAGGCCTGCTCGAAGGGGCTCCTCATCATTTTGCTTAGTTCCCTGTTTTTTGCCAAGTGTTCCCAGAATTTGCACGTCACACCCGGTGGCTCCATTCAATCTTGACCACAGCCTGCTATCTGGAGCTGATTCATATATTTACTCCCTTCCTTAACGCCAGACCGGGGTAAGAATCCTTTGAAACAGGCTGGAAGGAGCTGCCCGCAGCAGGTTAAGTTCGGAAAGGATCATCTTTGCCCTTTCCTCCCTCCAGGGAAAGACCGTGGATGAGGAAACCCTAGAAGAAAATGGAAAGGAGCTGCCCACAGCAAGTTTAGCTTGAGAAGAACCATCTCTGCTCCCTCCTTCCTACCAGGAAAGAACGAAGGTTAAAAATCCTTTGAAACAAGCCCAGGGCTTGCTCCGTTACTTAGAGAAAAACCTCTTTTATTGCCTTGTCCGTTTGGACTGAAGCCCTTGTTAATGTCCGGTCCTCCCTCTTCCCCCCTCCTTTAAAAGCTTTTGAAAGGGACTGGAGGGGTGGCAGCAGCAGCCTGCTCGGCTGGAGTAGTAGGGGCGTGCAGCGGATCATGGCAACCCCAGAAGCTTTGCAGCTCCAGGGGGAGTTTGCAGCTGTCAGGGGAGCCCAGGATTTCACAGTGAATCGGTGGTGGATAAGGGGGCACAGGGCTTCCTTCTCCTAGGCAGAAGAGAATAATCAGGAGGGTGACCTCTCCCACCCCTTATTGACCTTTATTCAAACCACAGTTCTGCCTGGACCTACACACACCCACAGAACAGGAGAAGGAAACTGCATTGGAAATGTACGAAGTTCCAAACGAAGTAAATTTGTCTCCTGGCCTCTCCCCTCAATTCATTTCTGAAATCATACCAAATGCTTTTACCTAATTCGACATGGCCCTAACTTACAAGCAAGGGTGGTGGTGGCACCCCTGAAATCAAATATTCATACCCTAATCTGAAATGCACACTTCATCCCCTCACCTGAACACTTTTTTTCCACTCTAGTAAGTAACCTATGGAATCCTAGATGCTCTCCTATGAGGCAACAACCCCTGGTAATGGAAAGCCACAACTGTTAACACTGTTCTTTACTCTTCTTCACTCATTTTCCTGAGCCTGCCTTTATTAAAATTATTGATCATGGAATTCTGGCATTAATTTTTTTGTTGTTGTTTTTTGAGACAGACTCTTAGTATGTTGCCCTCGGTAGAGTGCTGTGGCATCTCAGCTCACGGCAGTCTCAAACTCTTGGGCTTAAGCAGTTCTCTTGCCTCAGCCTTCCAAGTAGCTGGGACTATAGGCACCCTGCACAATGCCCTGCTATTTTTTTGTTGTAGTTGTCATTGTTATTTGGCAGGTTCAGACCTGCCTGCCCCAGTGTATGTGGCCAGTGCCCTAATCACTGAGCTACAGGCACCAAGCCTTTGGCTTTTTTTTTTTTTAATAGTGTCATAGGCTCGGTGCCTGTGGCCCAAGTGGCTAAGGCGCCAGCCACATACACTTAAGGTGGCGGGTTCGAATCCAAGAGGCGGGTTCCCTCCAAACAACAATGTCAGCTGCAACCAAAAAATAGCCGGGCGTTGTGGTGGGTACCTGTAGTCCCAGCTACTTGGGAGGTGGAAGCAGGAAACTCGCTTGAGCCCAGGAGTTGGAGGTTGCTGTGAACTGTGATGCCACAGCACTCTACCCAGGGCACAAAGCCAGGTTGAGGCTTTGTCTCAAAAAAAAAAAAAATGACTCTTCTGCCTTCGCCTCCAAAGTACCTAGGACTATAGGAGCTCACCACCACACTCAGCTAATTTTTCTATATTTGGTAGATCAGTTCTTGCTCTCGCTCAGGCTGGTCTCAAACTCCTGAATTCAAATGATTCTTCTCCCCTCAGCCTCAGAATGCTAGGATTACAGGAGGTGATTAATTTTGACTTTATAAAATATCACATTGCAATACTACATATTTACCTTGACTATGAAGTTTTTATCACTCCCTTTAATTGTGTGGTGAAGGCCTAGTCTCTGTCCTACTACTACTACTATTGACTCTGCTCCATCGCCAGGCTGCCCACTGTTAGAACTAAGGTGATAGGATCCTCCTTCAAAATAACTCCTGGGCTCGGCGCCTGTGGCTCAAGTGGCTAAGGCACCAGCCACATACACCTGAGCTGGTGGGTTTGAATCCAGCCTGGGCCCACCAAACAACAATGATGGCTGCAACCAAAAAACAACCCGGCGTTGTGGCGGGTGCCTATAGTCCCAGCTACTTGGGAGGCTGAGGCAAGAGAATCTCTTAAGCCCAGGAGTTGGAGGTTGCTGTGAGGTGTGATGCCACAGCACTCTACCCAGGGTGACAGCTTGAGGCTCTGTCTCAAGAAAAAAAAATAACTCCTGGGCTGGGCCCCCATAGCTCAGTGATTAGGGAACTGGCCACATGCTCTGGGGCTGGTGGGTTTGAATCCAGCCCAGGCCTGCTAAACAAGCAAAAATAGCCAGGTATTGTGATGGGCCCCTATATTGAGGTTGCTGTGAGCTATGATGCCATAGCACTTACCCAGGACACAAAAGTGAGACTCTGTCTCAAAAGAGAAAAAATATTAACTCCTTTTTGTACATCATGGTAACTACAGTTAATATTAATATATTATAATATGTACTTGCAAACTGGTAAAAGAATAGATTTTTTTTTTTTTT